TTCTCTTTAATGTTCTATTGTGATGGTGCAAGTTTTATGCCCTCTCCCATTCCTAGGTTAAAATCCTAACCCTTAAGGAGATGGTGTTAGGAAGTGGGGCTTTTGAAAGGTAATGAGGCCATGAGAAAGGAGCCCTCACGGCCACAATTAGTGCCCCTACAAAATGAGCCCCCTGAGGATCCTTCACCTCATGTGCCATGTGAAGGCCTGGACTGTGAACCAGAAACCAGGCGCTCACCACATATCAAATCTGCCACCACCTTGATTTTGGACCTCCTAGCCTTCAGAACTATGAATGATACACTTCTTTTTGTTGTTGTTTATTTGTTTGCACTACCGGGGATTGAACTCAGGACCCTGTGCTTGCCAGGCAGGTGTTTATGCTACTGAGCTATCTCTCCGGCCCTACTTCTGTTGTTTTTAAGCTGTTCCATTTACCATGTATTATTATGGTAGCCTGAATAGGCCAGAGCACCCACTGTGTGCGTGTATGTGTGTAGAGGGGACTGCAACCCCAGGGCCTTGTACCTGCTAGGCCTGCCACTGAAGTGCTCCATTACTGAGCTACACTCCCAGCTCCCAAGATACTAATTCTTGATGCCACATATATAATCAACAAAAGCAGATTGTCTTCTGGGTAGAGTAACTCTTGTTTTTTTTTTTTTTTTACTGGCCCAGGCTGCCTTAAGGGCGGGTCTGGTAAGGCAGGTGGAGCTGGGGATCGAACCGTGGTATCCTGCACCTGACTGCATTTGCAAACAAGGTTTGCTTGGGTAGGGCAACTCTTGAGGCTTGAAACAAACTAAAATGCGAGAAATTCTTTTTAAATACTGATCTGAATTTTTTTCTTATTCTAGAAAAAGCACCAATATCCCAAAGTAATTATTCTCGGTGGCTGGCAGGTCGGGGCTGCCCCAAAGGAATGTAAACAACTTACAGTCCAGGAAGTATGAATATCTCAGGAGAATTATATTCCTCACGACCCAGAGCTCTCACTAGGAATGAAACAATTCTCTGCTTATCCAGTTCTTAACCAAAACTGTCCTAGAGGAAACAACTTCAGGAGAAAACTGCAGCCACTTGTGCCTTTGGATTCTATCACTAGGATCAAGCCAGACCACCAGATGGGCCTCAAAGAATTACACCATTGGGGCTGGGGAGATGGCTCAGTAGAATAAGCACTTGCCTGGCAAGTGCAAGAGCCTGAGTTCAATCCCTGCTTCCGAAAAAAAAAGAATCACACCATCTCTGTTAAACACAACCATCGCTTCTCAGTGCATGCCAGGGGCCCTAAGAAACAGTACATGTGGAATCAATAAACAAATTTTACTGATTTTTCTATCATGCAAAGTCTGTTAATAATAGCATAGTCATGCTTCTGTGCTTTAGCATTCCTCATGAATTCAACTAAGTATGCATTAAAAAATTCAGAAGAAATACTGCTTCTGTACTGAACATGCACAGAGTCCTTTTTTTGTCATTATTCTCTAAACAATACAACAACTATCCATAGAGCTTTCATGTGTGTTAGGTATTACAAGTAATCTAGAGATGGTTTAAAGTGCATAGGAAGAGGGGCTGGGGAGATAGCTCAGTTGAATAAGCGCCTGGCAAGCACAAGGGTTTCAGTTCAATCCCCAGCTCCGCAAAATAAATAAGCCTATTTTGGGGGCTGGTGAGATGGCTCAGTGGTCTAAAGCACCTACTTAGAACAAGCTTAGCAAAACACAGGGACCATGGTTCAATCCCCCAGCACCACATGCCAGCCAGCCCTGCTCCCTGGTGTGCTGAGCTGGCTACACACACACACACACACACACACACACACACACACAAAGTACATAGGAAGACGTACACAGTTATAGCTAAATATTATACTGTATCTAAGAGACTCGAGCATGGTGGATTTTGATACCTGGTAGAGGTCCTAGAACTAATCACCCTCCAATGCCAAGGAAAGTTTGTGATTTAAACAATCATCACACGTGGGTAATCTACTTTATGTTACCCTCCTAGCATGGCTTTGTGCCCTCTTTCTGAATGGCAAAAATAAGGTCTTATTAGCTTTGACTGTCAGGAAACTCAAGTTACCTTCAAAGCTTGGCCGCAGTAACAACAATGACTCCCAGCAGCTATGACCCCCTCTCTCATATTCCTGACTTCCATTTCTTCTTTATTTTCCCTGTTTCTGACATTCTACTTGATTCTTATCTTACTATTGGTCCACTTCTTGTAGGATGACTCAAACACTTTTCAACGAAACACAGAAGAAATCAATCAAAACTACAAACAGCCAAGATGGGTCCAATCTGAAGAGGGGGTTATGATGATGGAACCCACTGATATATGGGTTCCTGCTAACCTAGAGGGTATGTGGGTGAACTTTAAAGAAAGGTTAAGCCTTCTGAAAGAGAATGAACAATTATAGGCAAGTGTGCTGTTTTCCTAGATCCACAGCTTGTACCAGTTTCAGTGACTTAGGCCAGCAGGAGGGGACCAAGACTCTTGACCAAGCTCAGGACAGCAAGAAAGGGAGTCAATGAAGTACAGCAAGGGGCTAAGTCAGTCTGAAACTCATCCGTATCCCCGACCCCTGGCATCTACATATCCCAACAGTCTTTCTTAGCCAAGCCGGGCCATAGCACTCCACATTTGGTTGCATATTCACCTACCAGATGGTCTGCTGTAGTTAATAAGTGCTGGCTGTTGCTGCTGCTGCTGCTGCTGCTGCTGTGGTTGTGGTTGTGACTGAGGCTGTGGTATCGGTGGCTGCTGCTGTGGAGGCTGCTGCTGCTGCTGTTGCTGCTGCTGTTGCTGCTGCTGCTGTTGCTGCTGTTGCTGCATGCCAGGTAATGTTCTTTTCCCCTGGACTGCAAGCTGCAGTGTTTCAGGGAGGGGCTGCCCCCGGGCCAGCATTTTGTAAGCTAAAATCTGGGCCCGAAGTTGATGCAGCTGGACAGGACTGAAAGGCGAGGGGCCTCTGTTGGCCTGGTTCATGGTCTGTGGATCACCTGGGATAAGAGGCCCCGGCTGGCTGGGTGGCATCTGGGGTGGTGTTGGGCCTCCTCCAGATATAGGGCTGGAGACGTGTTCTGGGGCTCCCAACGGAGATGGGTGTGGGGACAAATAGCCTAAAACAAAACACAAGAAGTCACAGGCTGCCCAAGACCACCCTGAAAAAGAGGCATTCCACACTACATGAAGGAAATTAACATTATGCAGACTTTCACAAGTACATATAGACCAAAAATTTAATGTGTACTCTATACCTTACATATGTAAATTTAGTTTTTTCTAGTAGCCACATACACACACACACACACACACACACACACACACACAAAATAATCAGGTAAAGTTAAATTTAGTGACACAGTTCACTTAAACTAACAAACCCAAAGTACTAAACTTTCAAAATAAAAACATGATTGATGGGCAATTAGGTAAATGTATTTTTTTCATACTAAATCCATTAAGTATTTTACACTCACAGCACCTCTCACTTCAGACTAGTCCCAGTGCGATGGATTGGGGCCACTTGAGGAGCGAGAGGCAAATGGTTAGTGGTTGCCTCTTTATACCTAAAGGCCAGACAATGTGGGCTAACAGCTGCACTAAAGACAGGAAACAAAGCCTGAAGGTATCTAGTAGATCTCCAAGGGGCACAAAGCTGAAGCACAGAGTCACTGTTATCTCCAGTTGTCATTTGGGGAAGGAAGCAAATTTAGCCCAATGCCCTGAGACAGATATGGGTTCATCAAGAAAATTCCATTCAGGGAACTTCTTCCCTGGAGAGAAAAGGAACCATTGCTAGCCTCACCTCCCAAATCCCAACTCCATGAGACAGCACAAAAACCTATACCAGGTCGGTGAGATAGCTCAGCAGACTAAGTGCCTGCTTAGGCAAGCACAGGGACTGGGGTTTGATACCCGGGACCACATGCCGCGCCAGCCCCACTCCCAGGTACACTGAGCCAGCCACTAAGACCCACTGTGGTGGCATGTGCCTGTAAGCTCATTGCTGGGCAGGCTGAACCAGAGGGATTACTACAAGTCCGAGCTGCATAGTGAGACCCTATACCAAATTAAAAAAAAAAAAAAAATAATA